AGCTTCAGTGAAGTTCCAGAGCCAGTCCAAACAAACAGTGAAATAAACCTCTAATTGTTCAGAAATCTAGAATGATTAGAGGAGTTGTAGCCTGACAGGAAATGTTAAAATTGTTCCCAATAGAGAAAAAAAAATACACAGAAAACTTTAACTTCAATTTATCTCTAAAGAGTATGATTGAATAGATACAAATGAGGATTAGGGTCACAAAGCAGGTAAAAATGTGTTTTCTTTCCTATTACAGTAGTAGTATAAACAATATAAAGTCAAAAATGTATTTCAAGAATAGAAAACTCAAGATGTTTAAGAAAATATTCCCCAGTTCGATTTGGTTAGGAAGCTAAAATATGGAGAAAAAAATGAATTATGCCTATATCCTCATCCAATCAGAAGGTTTTTAGGGCTTAAACAGAGTTACTTAAAGGAATAGTACACCCAAAACATGATTAGCCTTCATTTTCCACTCACCCCCATGCTGAACAACACTCTGGAGTACTTTTTTGATATCTCAAATGCATCTGGAGATCTGGGAGGCTTCTTGCTGTCTGCTGACATTCAAATAATGGAGGTATATGGTGCCCGAGACAGAAAGGTCCATAAAAGTCCACAAAAAACGTGTCAATATTCCTCCATACTGCTCATCCAATGTATTCCAAGTGTCCTGAGTGGGTAGCATCCAGAATTTACTCGAAACGAAGTCATTTAGAATGTTTTTAGAGCATAAACAGTAGTGTATAGGATTTCCTGAAAGCGCGCACATGCACGCTCACGACGCTACAGAAGCCGGCAGACCAAACCAGCGCATTCAGCTCGGCAAAGAACTCATGCCCTTCCTCAACACTGAAGTCCTCAGACATTTTTCTTTCGTTGTTTCTTTCTTTGCACAGGTAAACAGCACATTTCTTCTTCTACGCTTGCATTATCGGCAGAGCAGACGCTGAATGCGCACTTTCATCTGGTTTGGTCTGCCGGCTTCCGTAGCGTCGTGAACGCGCATGTGCGCGCTTTCAGGAAGTCCTATACACTACTGTTTATGCTCTAAAAACATTCTAAATGACTTCGTTTCGAGTAAATTCTGGATGCTACCCACTCAGGACACTTGGAATACATTGGACGAGCAGTATGGAGGAATATTGACACGTTTTTTGTGGACTTTTATGGACCTTTCTGTCTCGGGCGCCGTAGACCTCCATTATTTGAATGTCAGCAGACAGCAAGAAGCCTCCCAGATCTCCAGATGCATTTGAGATATCAAAAAAGTACTCCAGAGTGTTGTTCAGCATAGGGGTGAGTAGAAAATGAAGGCTAATCATGTTTTGGGTGTACTATTCCTTTAAATCTTATGTAAAATTAATCTTTATTAGAATTATTTTTTTTTTTTTAAATAAAGGTTCCATCTTGCTTAAAGCAGGCTGTGGCCGTGTCATCTTCTCTTTGTATAAGTTTTCTCTGCATTTGAATCAAAGTTTAAATTATGTTCTTGTTGTTACATACTTAATCCTAAAAAAGGTAAACATTGTTAAAAGCCTCACATTTTTTTTCCTGGGTGACCTTAATAATCTCTAGTAAATCAAACATCAGATAAGTCTGGACTCCATGAGTCAGATTCTGTATGATAATAAAAGTTATGAATGTGAATCAAACTTGTAATAAAGAACCAGGCTCCCTCAGATTGGTTAGAAATGTGACAAGTCCTGGCTTTAGAGAAACGGCCCCACAGCATGATGCAGCCTCTGCCATGCTTTACATTTATTAGTTTGTGTATGAAAGGCTTGATTTGACTCCTCTTAACAGATGTCTAGTTACTGTCAGCATGCGACCCTATCTTTTTCCCCATCTGATAAAGAAGTACACAAATTGTCCACTTATACAGCTGCTGAGTTCCGCTGTGCTGCAGTACTGCTGGCTGGACCAGGGATTCTACATCAGGTTCAGGATTATGTCCTTTTTAAATGAGGGTGACAGAAACCTGGACACAACGCGGCATTTTAAGTGGAAAAAATGTTTGGGCTTTGATACAGCAGGCTAATATCAAGGCTTCTGGGAAGATTTTAAACACTGACTTGGTTGTGGTGATGCCTGGTAAGATTAGCTGGGTTGTAAGTGCATATATTAAGGAGAGAAAATTCACATCTAAATTCGGGGCTGTGCCTCCTTTTGTTTTTAAAATCTAGTGAAATAAATGTATCCCAAACTTTTTAACATCCTAAGCCATGAGTGTGGATACAACTACTGACTAAACTGTCTCACACTTCTAGAAACGGTTTACTCGGGAATAAAAAAACTTTTCTAAGAGGATATGACTTCTGGCTGATGCTGATGTCTTCTCTCTTCACAGATCCATGGAACAGTTGAAGACTGAAACTTTCTCATTACATCATCCCAACTGAACACCCACATCGCTGCCTATAACCCAACGATAACCTGAGTAGTATTACTGTCCCAAACAATAGTTTTTGTACGTGTTGTTTTGTAAATAAAGAGGAAAAACCCACTTACTCTGGGTAAAGGGAATTCTTTTGATTAGTAAAACACAACCAAAGGTTCTTTGCTGCAGAACACCATTTATTCACAAGGTGACATTTGGATGCTGAACATCGGCACTCACGAAACCCTCGATCCACTAAGAACATCAGTTTAAATTATTTTTTATTACAGAAAGTGTCTCAAAACATGTAAAACCGTACAGAACAATAAATTCCACCATCAGGCACATACAAAGACATTAAAGATAAGGCAAACATTAAGTGGATTATCTACCCTTCATCTGGGGTTCAACCCGAAGGTGAACGAGCGCCAGAGGAGGAGGAAGTGAAGAACAGTTAGAAGTGTGTTGGTCCAATCAAAGTGCAGGTGTTCAGTGAATCCATCTCAACTTTAAAGGATTGTCTTGACTTTTAAGGGATGGTTTCTTACTCAAATGATGAAATGGAGGAAAAAAATGCAGGTGATGCATCAAAAACAGTTGAAAGGAAGAAGATATTAAACCTTTTATGTGACAGACTTTCAAACTTTGCTTTCAGCTGCATCCTGTCATCACGAAACGGCACAACACTGAAATGATCTCCATCTAAATCTGCTGGCAAATCGTCATAGCAACAGGACACAAATATGCATTACAACTTATATAGGAACTAATTTGACTGCTTTTCGCTCGCTGTGGTAAAGACTTGCTGTATAATGTTACAATGCAGTACTTAGCTGAATTCACTATGACTAACATTCAATGCAACCAACTTAAACTATAAAATAATCCTCATGTATTACAAAGAGTAGCAGAGAAGTAAAATAAGTTTTTTTAATGACTATCACACCAATATGTCTACATTAGGCAATCTAAGACTAAAACAGTGCCTCATGTTTTGTTTTTGAGCTTAATGAGAAAACTGGATGGTTTCAGGCGCCACAGCTGTCAGGAGCAGGGCGTTTTTGGTCTTTAAAACTGGTTTTTACCTGTTTTAATCTTTTGAAAACCCTTTCTTAAATTAATTTTGGACAATGTACCAAACATTGACCTTAGTGCGGAAGTGGACCCTTTGGATGAGTTTGCTTGGTGTTTCAAACCTGAAAATACAAACTAAACAGTTAACTTGTTTTTATTTAAAGTTAGGACAACGCTGTCTGTGACAAAACATGAGTAAATTTATTCTTTAAAAATACTTTTTTAGCTTTAATGCCAATTATACATTATTCCCCACCTCCTCGTAGTATTTTAAACAGTATTCCATATAGTTTACACAAGGGGGATACACACTGAATAATATTCACTTTTCATCCTCTGTACAGTGCCTTATACACTGCCTGGCCAAAAAAAAAAAGTCGCCGCCAAAAAAAAAAGGTCACTCTGGACTGACTTTACCTTTGATTATGGCACGCATTTGCTATGGCATTCTTTCGATAAGATTCAGCAATGTCAAAAGATTTATTTCCATCCGGTGTTGCATTAATTTTTCACCAAGATCTTGCATTGATGATGGTAGAGTCTGACCGCTGCGCAAAGCCCTCTCTTGCACATCCCAAAGATTCTCAGTAAGGTTGAGGTCTGGACTCTGTGGTGGCCAATCCATGTGTGAAAATGATGTGTCACGCTCCCTGAACCAGTCTTTCACAATTTGAGCCCGATGAATCCTGGTATTGTCATCTTGGAATGTGCCTGTGCCATCAGAGAACAAAAAGTCCATTGATGGAATAACCTGGTCATTCAGTATATTCAGGTAGTCAGTTGACCTCATTCTTTGAGCACATACTGTTGCTGAACCTAGACTTGACCAACTGCAGCAATCCCAGATCATAACACCGCCCCCACAGGCTTGTACAGTAGGCACTAGGCATGGTGGGTGCATCACTTCACCTGCCTCTCTTCTTACCCTGATTCGCCCATCACTCTGGAACAGGGTAAATCTGGACTCATCAGACCACATGACCTTCTTCCATTGCTCCACAGTCCAATCATTATGCTCCCTAGCAAATTGAAGCCTTTTTTTCCCGGTTAGCCTCACTGATTAGTGGTTTTTTTTACGGCTACTCAGCTCAGTCCCAATCCCTTGAGTTCCCTTCGCATTGTGCGTGTGGAAATGCTCTTACTTTCATTATTAAACATAGCCCTGAGTTCTACTGTTGTTTTTCGTCGATTTGATCTCACAATACGTTTAAGTGATCGCTGATCACGATCATTCAGGATTTTTTTCCGGCCACATTTCTTCCTTAAAGATGATGGGTCCCCACTATCCTTCCAGTTTTTAATAATGCGTTGGACAGTTCTTAACCCAATTTTAGTAGTTTCTGCAATCTCTTTAGATGTTTTCTCTGCTTGATGCATGCCAATGATTTGACCCTTCTCAAACAGAATAACATCTTTTCCACAACCACGGGATGTGTCTTTCGACATGGTTGTTTAGGAAATGAGAAGCAAGTCATTGCACCAGTTGGGGTTAAATAACTTGTTGCCAGCTGAAAGATAATCGCCCATGCAGTAATTATCCAATAGGAGGCTCGTTCCCATTTGCTTAGTTGAATCCAGGTGGTGACTTTTTTTTTAGCCAGGCAGTGTAGAAGTATTCATAACCTTCGACCTGGAAGTCGCATTTTTAAAGGTCCTATAATCATGGAACAATCAAATTTTGGGGTATCTTAACGCTTGTAACGTAACTAGAGCTGTAAAGGCAGCTCTGGTTGACATTAGAAAACGAAACAAAAATATTGTTGCACGTTCTGAAATTTCAAAAACTTCACTAAATAAATAAATAAAAGGGTTATTTAAAAATCAGAACTGAAGAGTTTTGAGCTCCCCCACTGAGAGAGGAGTGTGTTAGCTGTGAGGAGGGGGCTGCGGCAGAGGGGGTCCCTCTGTGTCTGCCTTGCTGCGTTTAGCGGGCAGCGTCTGGTCATGAGCCTTCCGGATGTGTCGGTATAAATCCCCAGACTGCGTGTAGCTCCTGTAGCAGTAACGGCACTCATACGGACGCTCGCGTGTGTGCACGATGGCGTGGCGTCTCAGAGTGTACGTGCAGGAAAAAGTCTTCCCGCACACTCCGCATGTGGGCACGTCTTCCACAAAGTTGCCCATGGAGTCCTGGAGTTCTTGGAAGTAGGCGGGGGGGTCATGATGTTGCTGAGACGAGGACGGAGGAATGAGGGAGGCCGCGTCCTGGGAAGAAGGTCCGGCACCTGAAGACGAGGACGAAGGAGAAAGGGGGAAGGAGTAGTCGTTGGAATGAGGGGTTATCTGTAGGAGTCCCTGTGAATGTGTGGAGACAAAGTGCGGACTGCTTAGCTCTTCCTCCTGGATGTCCTCCTCATACTCCTCTTCCACATCCATCACAGATTCTTTCTCTCCGATGTCCTCTTTCTCCTCAAACTCTTCGTCAGAAATAACAATCGCCTCCTCTTTGATTTTCAAGATCTCCTCAACCTCGCCTGTCCTTCCTCCCCCCAGAGGACGTGTTCTAGCTACAACCGAAGCTCCTGCTTCGTCCTCAGGACGCTGAAGAGTTTGCAGTTGGGGAGCAGCCTGAAGCTCTGAGCTCTGGAGAGTTACGGCATTCTGAATTCTGATCTGCATCGGTGTCTGCTCAGGTGCCGAGTGTCTGGAGTTTGTTTGGACGTGTTTGGCGGGGGCTTGGATAGACCTGACCGTCTGCTGATCTCTGTTTCTGTGATCATTCTCTGAGAGGTGCTCACCAGAAGGTCTAAGAGGGTCTGGGTGGGCGCTGACAGAAAGAAGGGATTTTGACAGGCTGAGAGACACCACAGGACGACCATCCGACTGTCTGAATGTGATCAGGGAGGAGGAAGAGGGGGAAGGCTGCTGGATGGCACTGTAGCTGGATACAAACAGATAAACAGATTCAGACTCAGTTTTAAAGAAGAATCTCAACTAAGAACTAGGAACCAACTAAGAACTCCAGTAAACTATGGTAACACATTAAAAGAATAAATCTTTATGTAGATGTTGACAATTATCAATCTGAATTTGGAAACTTGCCGTTTTATAAAGATCTCTGAGGTCCGGACCAACATACTCTGACAAGAAACAGAAACTCATCTTTACAGTGAGTAAAGCTTGACTCAATAATAGTGCTGTTAAAAAACACTAAACACATACAGCAGGATGCTGTAGACTGTTTAAAATTCCAACTTTATCTCTTTTGGTTTGTTAAAAACACCTTTTTCCTGTTGTGGCGACATTCTCTCACCTGCACAGAGAGATGTTACCTCTGAAAGACGTACATTACTGAGAGCATTTAAAAACAATACCTACGCTTAGTTGCAGAGAATGTCCCCGCTTCACCTACTGTAAACCTTGGTTATTCAGATATTCAAAATCTGTTTACAATAAAAGGGTCACATATACCAAGTGTTTGATCAGATTAAATCATTTACAGCGGGACCTCTCTCATTATTCTAAGTAAGAGAATTTGCACGATCAGTGGCTGACTAAATACTTTTTGGCCCCACTGTAAGCATGCGTTGAACTTCTAGTGTTCTGATGTTGTACAAATGCGCAGTGGTGATTATTTTACTCTAAAGGTCTGAATGGGTGTGCAGATGGTGGCCAGTCGGAATGTTGATCGACTAAAACAAGCCTCAGTTTTTGTTCCGAATCAGATTAGAATCAGTCTGACATGTTTGCGTGAAACATATTTGATCCGATCAGATTTTCAGTCCGATATGTGTCCATGTAAAAATAACCGATCCAAATCGTCCCAATGGGACAGAACTTTTATTCTGAAAGAGAGATGGATTTTGAAAAAAATAAAAAATGATCTCCACTGCGCTTGTGTGCAACATAAGAGCGACATTTTTTTCCAGAAAATTAGACAGTTCCACACATGCTTAAATGATTTAATCTGATTCAAAGCTTGGTACATCCATACACATGTCATGATTGGATCAATTATTTTGTGTTTATGTAAGCAGGGATTTGGAATTTGCAGTTATAAACAAAACTAAAGCCACAGAAGCAGCCTGGACTCCCTGCAACAAAATGCATATTTCTTTGTTATTATTCACTGAACTGACACTTCACATAATAATTCCTGTTTTATTTAAATACTTTTTTCTATTGTAAGCTTAAAACAAGTAAACTAGTTATTAATTTGATTTAAATCAGCTTCAAATTGATAAAAACAACCAACAATAGAGTTTTACCTGTATGTTTCTGTGGTGCTACATGGACTGCAAAGAGAAGATCCTTCGTTTTGACTCCCTGGGCTCATCTTAGTCAGGCCTGCAGGGAGGAGGGCAGAAATGTTGGTCTGGGTCTGCACCAGCTCCCTGGATGGAGGCAGAGAAGTGATGTCCATGCCTGGTTGAGTAGTATCAGCGAGGTCAGGGCTCAGAGGAGTTTGTGTCTTAGATGAACCTCCACCACTCCTCTGCTGAGACTTCACACCCTCCACCGGACTCCTGTCTGCCACTTCTAAGACTGAGGAGGAAAGCGGTGCAGCTGTGCTCACTGGATTTGTGTGGTCTGCAACCATGGCTACCACAGGCTCTCCATCTGCCTCTGGTAGCCTCCTCTCTTCAGAGCGCGTGCTGTCCGCCTCAGCCAGAGGCCCTCGTCTCTGCAGTCGCCTCTTACACACTCTTACAACCTCGTTCATATGCAAAAAGCTCGCTGCTGCCAAGATGTCCTCCACAGGAGGAGACTCTTCCAGATGCAAAACACCTTCGTAGACAAAGTCCAACAGCACGCCAAATGCAGCAGATGTGACAATATCATTGTCAAGTGTCACGCAGCTGCTGGTGCTGCTCCCTGCATGGGAGTCCGAGTAGAACATGTGAAAGAACGGTGAGCATGAGGCCAAAACCGCCCGGTGAGCCAGGAAACGGGATGAGCCCACTTGTACGGTGCAATCACAGAGAAAGCCCCGCTGCCGCTGGGAACGCAGGGCCGACAGCAGCTGCTGGGAATGCTGGGGAAATTCCATGACCTGAGGAACAGAAACGGATCCAGAATGAAACACCACAAGGATATTTCACATATAAGATACAGGATTCATGCAAGAAATTTGTATTTCCTCACATCCTTCATCCAAATAAACTGACTCCACACATATCCAGCTCGGTGTCACCTTTCCAACTATGTCTCCAAACCACTTATAAGTAGAGCTTTCCCTTTGGTATCTGATGTGATGGGACTTCCATTAATCAATCCAGAACATGCAACAGATTCTTGATTTAAATTTGGTTTGGAAAATTTGGAAGCCATGTAAACACTTTAAAGCTATTCTCCTTAAAATATTCTTGAACTGTTTTTGCTTTGAAGCAGATTACATCATCCTATTAAAAGGGAAGTGTTTTGCGAAAAATTAAACATCCATAAGAAAGGCTGGATTAAATGTATTACAGCAAAACGTTGCACAAAGAACTACATCAGCAAGCTATCCTTCTGTAGTCTGATTAACCTTAGCTGGGTGTGCCACAGTGTTGCTAGGCTGTGTGTTTTGTTTTAAGTGCTTAATGTTACTATCTAATTTAACATTGTATACATAGAGTAGCAAAAATCAAGTAGCAACTGTTGAATATAAGTTTAAAACTCACGATGAGGACAGTTATAAGTTTCCTTTTTCGAGCTCTTGCTCTGGCAGCCTGATCTCCAGAGTGCTGCTTTACGTTACCGTATCCCCCTCTCCATGGCAACCAGACTGGATTTCTGAGTCCAAAGCCAAGAACCGAACCTTTTCGTAAAACAACATACATTAACAGCTAGAAAACGAATTAAGGAAAGCTACAACATCGTATAAAACCCATAAAACACAGATTACTCCACATATTATGCAAGCAAACGGGGGGGAAACAAGCATTAGCTCAATGACGCTATCACTAGTTAGCAAGTTAGCTCAACGTCTGTGAAATTATGTACACCTGGAACTTTGAAGCCGACAAGTTTCGGACCCAAAGAAATGTTTAAGCGTATCTTACAGATCTCGAAATTAATGTTATCGTAAATGGTAGATTATTTTTACCTGCTTTCACTGTTATGTTTCCCAACAAGAGGGTTCTTCTTCTTCTTTTCTATTATGGCGGATTGCAAGCAACTTTAAGCTGCATGCTGCCACCTACCGTACATGACTGTGTAGCAACATTACTTTACATCAAATTCTATTTTTTTATTTTCTGTGGATAAATAAACAATGCTTTCCTTAATATTTCCTTCATTTCCCAATATCCCTTTAAGACTTCATTCTTGGCCTGAATTTCCAACCATCCTTCTCAATTTCTCCCTTTCATGTTCATAAGTTTTACAGTTGATCAGTACATTTTCTACATTTTCTTTTTCTCCACATTCTTCACATTTATCATAATGTTTCCTCCCTAATAAATATAAATTGTCATTTAAATAGGTATGACCCACTGTTAATCTGATGATTATTACTTCTTCCCTTCTTTTTCTCTACTTAATTATTCTATTTAATACTGATTTTTAGACCTTATTTACCTCTTTTTCCATTTCTTTACTCTTAATAAGTGATTTCCCTTCCCCTTTCCCAAAAGGAATTGTAATGTTATTGTTCCCTCTAAAGCCCTTTTTTGCTAATATATCTGCTTTTTCATTTCCTCACCTTCATGTGCTGGAATCAGACATAACCAAATATCAATGCCACCCCTATGTATAATCTAAATAGACTGTGCTGGATTTCTCATAAATATTTTCTATCATTTCCTTCTCCCTGAATCATTTCTAAAACTGCTTTGGAATCTGTACAGACCACCACCATATCTTGTCTAACCTCCTCTACCCATTGTAAGCTTAGTATAATTGCCACTATTTCTGATATTCTTTTAGAAATGTATATCTTAAACTCTGGTATATATATTGCTATTCCCACACGTCCTTTTAAATTCTTAAAACCATCTGAATATATTTTAAGGTAGCTATAATATGAGTTTCTTAAATATATATCACTCTTTATCCCTATTTCATTTAAATTCCAATCATTTTTTCATTTTAAGCAGTCTCGTGTCTACATTTATCTCAGGGAATAGCCAAGGAGGAATAACACTAAACAGCAGGGTCCTTGGACAAAATTCAGAAACCAAAAGCAAAAAGGTTGTCATATCACCTCTCTAATTTATTTCAGCCCTCCCTCGATACAAATTAAAAAATAATGCTTACTTGGCTTTTTTTCTTTCATCATTTCTATTTATTTATTTGTCTTTCATTATAATTCTGTTACATTCGACATATACATATCCTTTGATTTCGATTTTTTTTTAGTAGGTATGATTGACTATATGTTATGTTTTATTGAACTGTATTGTTTGAATGTGTCATTGTTACTGTTCCAAATAAAGTAATATAAAAAAAAAATAAACAGCAGGGTTGCGTTTCTTCCTCTACGGTGCTAGTTTGCAGCTTCCTGAGATGTCGCCACCTACCGGCTGAGGTCAGAAAAAAACAGGAAGTGAGAATAAGAACACAAGCAGAAGCAGAAGGGTCGCTGCACTTATGAGCTGTTTGAATGGAGGCGACTGTTTATTAGGTATTAATGAATAGACCTAATAGGCTACATAACTTAATGAAGCACAAAATGTGCCAAAGCTAATTGTAGATAAATTCCTTTAATGACTCAAACCTCAAGTGCAAACCCTGATCCACCTTTATTTTAATGGACAGAGGAAGAAGAGGAAGAAGAGGTAAAGAAGAGGTGAGGGCTATATTAACTGAATCAGTTATTCAGATTGTTGCCTTACTAATTGTTGGATTATAAAATGTTTAACTATGATTATCAGGATGTATGGGAGGTTTTACACTGAAGTCTAAATATAATAAACCCAGGCTATAATTAGGATGGAAGAAGGTTGAGTGTGTATCAGATGATCCCTTCTTTCCCAGCAGGACAGAGATGTCCGTCTGTCCAAATCAATGTCTTATGTGCTTCGTCATGGAGCTGCAAAGATGGGGCTTCAACTGGCCACAGGTGAGCTCATACTTGCTGTTTCCTACACAAATGTGTATACAAAACATCCAACAAATGGCCATTATAACAGTTAAATTTTCCTCTTATATTGTCACTGTGTAAAAGGTGACAATTTAATTCAATATATGTCAAGGTGGTGTTCTCGATATGAAGATGTTAGCGGAGACTTTGCTGCATGTAAACAGTTTAAAAATAGCAAGTAGATTTATTCAGACTAAACATTAAATGTGTGACCAGATTCCCTAACGGCTCTTATCTCCACAGATGGTTTCCTGTACGTGGAGGACCTCTTGTCTCACCCCCAGTTTCACATGTACACATCAGATGACATCGAAAGAGTCGTTGCTACAAACGAAAAGCAACGCTTTAAGCTCCGCTCCCACCCGGACGATGGCCGGCTGCAGATTAGAGCCAATCAGGGACATTCTGTACAGGCAGGCAAAACCGATACAACAAATGTGTTTTTAATCCAACTGGTTCTAGATTCAGGCAAACCTGAAATGAACGGTCCAATTCAGATGCTGTTACAAACAGTTAAACTCAATGTAAACTTTCTTTGATTAAAAATAACCTAAGGAAGCTTAGCTTTCTCATTCTGACTAAGCATGTGGTGACAGTGGGGGGAAACTCCTATCTTTAAACTGGAGGGATGATAGTCTAGTTTTCAAAACTAGCTGAGATGTAGTAGTACTTTGATGGGAAGAGAAGACAAAGATAATGGCAGTAGGAGTTCTGTTAATGAATCATGGGGAGAGACATAGCCAAACACACTGAGCCAGAAAGATACTCTATGGGGCAGAAATTTCAAAAATGTCATTCGTATAAAGAACAAGTATCCTCGCACCCCTGATTGTAATAAATGATCTGCAACATTCTACTTAATTTATGTGCAATTTTATTAATTCTTAACAAGTTTCACTTTATATAAGCTAATCTTTCCTTGAGGTCAGAAGCAAAATGTGTCCTTTAACGACCTGAGATATCATCTCCTTTTGCCTAGATGTGTAGAAAATTTCAAAATAATTTACATAAGAGTTTGAATTTTTTTTTACTGCATTTAAGAAACTGCCCTTCTGTAAACTACCTTTATATATCTGGGAACAGGTAATGGATCTGGAGCTAAAACCAGTCCTAGCCGGTTCTCTGGACTGCCCCACTGAAGCCGTTCATGGCTCCTACCTCCGCAACTGGGTGTCCATTCAACAACATGGTCTGAGCCGCATGAATAGGACTCACATTCACCTGGCGCCTGGCCTTCCAGGGGAAGATGGCGTCATAAGCGGTATTCTTTCTGTTTGAATCTGAAAGGAAAAGTCTGTTAGCTAAACCTCCTAGAATGGCCTTATGTCTTTTCCCACCAGGCATGCGGAAAAACTGTGATCTGGCTGTGTTTATTGATGTCCCCAGAGCACTGGCTGGTAAGATGAGCTTCTAATGTCCAACACTCTGCATCTGTGTTTAAAGAAACTGACCTTTTTAACAGTGATTTTATTTGTGTGTTTCCGATTCATACAGATGGTATTGAGTTCTTCTGGTCAGAGAATAACGTGTTGCTGACTCCAGGTGATTCTGAGGGTAAACTCCTTCCCAAATACTTCACACGAGCCCTGAGACTCAGGCCTACAAGTACGAAAAACTAAACACACAAATTCTTATTAAGAAACCAGACGAAGTTCCAGTGTTAAGTCATTTAATTTTCCCACTGTTTCTTTTTCAGGGAGCGTCCTTCCCCTGCAGTAAAGGCTGCAGAGCTTGAAGCTTGATCTTCTAACCAAGCACAAGCCCACTTTTGCTATATTTTGTTCTTGGTCTCCATGGTTACACCAGTTTTGCTGCTCTTTGTAATGACACTATGGTGCACATGAGAAACCTTTATTTATTTTCATTATAAACACTACAGTGCCATGGTTAATAATTCATGTTGCATTAGCTTTTTCATATTACAGCCACAAATTCTAATATATTGTACTTGGGTTTAATGTGAGAAAGCAAAGAAGCCAATCAGAATCAGACATACTTTAATAATCCCAGAGGGAAATTAGTTATTATGAGGTGGAGGGTATATAGTATATATATATTTTTATTGCAAATAATCAGAAAGATGTGGCATGTATCTGTATTCAGCCTTTAACACCCCTAAAGTAAATCAATTCTACCTATGCCCTTTAGATGTGGCAGAAATCTTGCCTTTGTGAAAGAGAAGCAGGAAGAGAGTCTTTTTTGAAACAGCAAACGCACAAAATAATTAACTCCAGACTTACAAGACGAAAGTTTTGAGTTACATATACAAAATAGTAGCTTATGATGCACGGTGGTGGCAGCATAGGCTGTGGGAAAGCTTTGTTCAGCAGGGAGAAGAAACCTGGTTATCTATGATAAGGATGGGGGGAGTAAGAAAACAAAGAATATTGTTAAAGGCTGCAAAACATTTGATATTAGGGCGGATGTTAACGATTTATAGGACAGTGACCTTAAACATGCAGCCAAGGAATGGACTGGATCACATATTCATGGTGAAGAAGGGTCTAGTCAAAGGTCTGACCCAAATCCAGTTGCTCATCTGACGGAAGACAGAGGAGAATCCGTTCCTCACAAAGGTTTTTTTTTTTTAATCCAGCCTGACTGAGCTGTAGCTGTTTTTTTTTTTTTTGTTTGTTTTAAAGGAGAATTGGCAAATATTTCCGTCTGTTGATATGCAACTCAGGTAAAGGCATAACCCCAAAAGACTTGTAGCTGAAATTGTAGCAAATGGTATCAGATGCTAATTGGAAGACAGTAGTGTCTAAAATGTTGAAAACCATGTGTCATTTTACTTCAACATCACTATTATGAGAAATTTGTGTTGACCTATCACATAAAATCTCACTGTAATAAATCAAGACCCTTTCTAATGACAAAGGAAGTATTAGCATGTTGCCGAGGTCAGCGGTAAATAAACTAAGAGAAAAGAAATGACGTATTTTAATAATCTGTAAATAAAGAGTTAACTTTCTGTGTTTTTGAGAGGTCTCTACATTTGAATCACAGCAGACACTGGAGAACCTTAATAGTTAATATTTTCTTGTACAATTATAGAAACACGTATAAATGTGTGAGATATTTGTTTAGGAGCCATCATAAACGCTTCCATAGTGCTGCATCCCCCAGGAGAGAAAACCTGAATCACTCACTTTTGTCCTCATTAATATTATTATTAATGGGAAAAGCTAATACAGGTTTCTTTGTTGGGTCAATACAGTCACGTTCAATAAATTAGAATATTATTGAAAACTTAATTTTTATTAGTAACTCAAATAACTGAGACAAATCTTATAGAATAATTAACTCAGCAATGTTTTATTTATACCAACTATGATGATTTCCACTTATAGGCAACAAAAATATGACATTTAAGCTTAGAATATTCTATCAGACCAATAAAGAGAAAACATGATTAAAACATAAATGAGGCTTAAAAGAACATATGTTTTAAATCAGTTTATAAGTTGGGATTTCAGAGAGTGCTTTTAAACTGACAATGGAGACATATACTTAAAGTGTAACTCACCCCAAAATATAATTTTTTTCTCCATTCAAACTGAATAACTGGGCCCTATGGAGCGCTTTATTAATGTCACTGTTAATGTTTTTACTTTTTTAAGTGAGATTTTATTAGTTCGGCAATTTCCATCTGAAAACCGCCTTTGTGCTGCAACAATGGTTTAATGGTGTCTATTGCAGTTAAAATTCGGTTCAAACGGTACATGCAGCACAGGCCTATGTCATAGGTACAGGCATCCTCTCCCTGCCCTGGGATACAAAAGGAACTCATTGAGACGCACGGCTCCATAAAGAGTCATGCCTTCCTCCTTTACCTCAGCAGAACCTGGCAGCACCTGTTCTAAGCATGGTGCAGTCAGTGCTGTCTGAACTGATAGGGCTCTGGCTCACTGGGCTTTATAAAGCCTCCCTCGATCACAGGGGAATGGAGCATGAAGCTAATGAAGCTCCCCACACTTAACCTGACCCCTCATGGTTTCTCTGCACTGACCACTTTGGTGGCTTTTTTTCAAAACCTAACTCTTAGTGAGGTTATGGTATTAAATCAGGATGAGTTCCACTTCAATGACTATGACTCTTTAGCCCAGGCATCCCCAAAGTTGGTCCTGGAGGGCCGCTGTCCTGCAGGTTTTAGAGGTTTCTCCGCTTTAGAACAGCTGATTCTGATGATTGCATATCAGCAAAAGCCTGTTAATCAACTGTCAATGTAAATCAGCTGTGCTGGAGCAGGGAAACCTCTAAAACCTACAGGACAGCGGCCCTCAAGGACCAACTTTGGGGATGCCTGCTTTAGCCTCTGCAGATTCAGTATTAATACATGTCTTTCCAGAACAAAGCTGATTACAAATAATGATTGATGACTTGTGGTTTTGGAGCCTCTATAATTTGAACCAGCAATGGTTTATCACATAGGAGCTGACATGTGGATGTCTGATGGATATTACAATCCATCAGTTTGGATAGAAGGTGGTAGGACTGAGAGCGAGGGGCCAGGCTGGATCCTCTCTTAAAAAAAAAATAAAAAATTGAAAGTCAGTCTTTGTGTGTTTCAGTATTATAGAGCTTCATGGCCTCCGGTCAGCTTATGGAAGAGCTCCTCATTGAGCGTTTCGCTCTTCTCACGGCTGCGTGTGGACATGAAGATGTAGCCTCCGATGAACTCGTGAACGATTTTACAGTCGGCGGTGATGCAGCCGAAGGCGATGTTCACGTTCCCTTCAAACTCGATGGCCACCTGGACAGAAAGTTACCCAGAAGGAAACATTAGTTTGGGAAAGAGAATCACCTGGAGGGAAAACCAAAACCTTGCAAATAAGATTTGAGGATTTTGCCGAGAGTTGTTAAAACATTAAACACATGCTTAGAAATGGGAAAATAAAACCCTTTAGTTGCAGTTTATATTATTCCAGCAGCTGTTTTCTGAGGGGAGATTGATGAATGCATGAGTGTGACCTGTTTTATGTCCCAGTTCACGTTCCACTGCTTCATGTTGTTGTATCGCCAGGTCTTCACCACATCGCCCACTCCCAAATCGATACGGATCAGGCGGTTGGGCGCTATGCCCAGAACCTCATCCTTTCTGCTTCCTTTAAACCTATTGGGCAGAAAGCATGTATAAATACATGTGAACACAATTTCCGCCATTTTTGTGCCTTTATGCCTATCTTTTTGAATAGTTCTGTTATTATTATTATTGCCTTTTATCACATAAATGACTGATTTTAACAGAAAGATTGTTCTCATTAACTATTGTTAACTATTCATACCCCAAATAGATGCATATAAATCATTCTCAGAGGAACTTTAATAATAGCATTTTTTATTGCAGATAAAAATCAAAATCTTCTCAGCAACACCAGTGGAAAGAAAACAAAATAAAAAGCCCGGACGAGGAGAATAAGATCTCACTCTATTTACACCACAGTTTAACAAAGGACAGTATAAAATTATCAAGATCGTTTCATTCAAAACAGGGAAGCAAAAGTTTCTACCTCTACTGCTGAAATGTTAAAACAGATATTAGTTAAAGTAAGGTTATATATAACTTTTACTCATTAAAATTTTGATAAATGTAGTTTAGCCCAAAATTATAATTATTATTATCCCAGGTTTGAAAAATTTTCACTGTTTTCAGGTTTGAAGTTTATTTCTGATTGAGAAGTTCAAAATCTCATAAAGATGGAAAAAACTGGTTAAAAGGACTGACCGTTTAGAAAAAAAATATACAGTTTTTAAATTTTATTTAATAAAGAAATGGAATAATGAAGTAATTTAAAACAATTTTGTTGACTGGCTTTTTCCTGTCATAAAACATCAAAAACTAGTATTTTCTATTATGCATCTCTGTTGATCAGCTCCAAGCCTTTTTGTTGGAATGCCTCCTTAAAATCACCCTAATCTTTAGCTCCCTCTTAGATTTTCTTTCAGATTCAAGTCAGGAATCTACTTCAGCTAAGAAAAAATTTATCTTATGAAGTCAGAGGAAACATTTTGGTAAAATAAAGAGACCCCCCCCATTAGACATTTAAGCAGAGGTCTAGATCTGAGAAGCAGGTTACCACGGTGAACTGTTCAGCTGTAAGCAATCTCTAAATGATGCATGATGCATGAGTAAAGCTCATGCATCTTGTCTCTGTGGAGATGCATCCACACTTAGACTAGCTGCACACATTTAAATAAAAAAAAACTACTGGAAACACTTAACATTCAAACTTGAGATGCATAGACTTTATTGATAACATTGGAAGCTAAGTCACTCCCTTGCATAGGAGTGTGTCCAGTTAATAAAAATTATTGTGGGGCTCCTTTGCCTTCCTACTTTTCTTGCTTTGTACAAATACTAAAAGCCTCAGAACTGAATGCTGTGACCACTTTGCATTATTAAAGTGCTAAAATCTACGCTCTTGTAATCTTTAAACTGTTTTACAGTGAATTCACTGCTGTTACTAAAAGGACTGGACTAGGGCGTTATAACTTTTAAAGCGCCATTACTTTTATAACCAAAACTCGATGTAATGATCTCGGTACTAATGCTGCACTGCAAAAAATTTAATTCTAAATAAGTCATTTTTTTCTTAAAGTGCATTTTGTCTTGAATTTAGGAGGTGAGACACTTTGCAAATGGAACAAGACAATTTACATTAGAAATAAGGAAAAAAAACATCTGCATTGTCTTATTTAAAGTGCATATTACCTAATTATCTTATTTCAAGGGTAAAAATACTAATTCCATTAGCAAATCATCTCATTTATTTACTCAAAGTTTTCCTAACTTATTCTAGATCATTTTTGCAGTGTGGGCTGACCACTCACTCCACACACCTGCCCAGCTCCACCCTTTCCAAAACCAGCTTTCACTGGCTTCATCTGTTCCCACCACTATATAACCAGCCATTGGACCAGTCATCAGGGCCAGATTATCTCCTACCATCCTGGTAAAACTAATCAGCATCATCCTATTTGCCTGCCTGCCTGCCTGTCTGCTATGTGACCTTTTCAACCTTCTGTTACAGAGCCTGACTCTGTTCTGACTATGCCTGCCTGCCCAGAGATCTAATCTGTTCTGCCTCTGGACCTCCGAATCTGCCTGGCCTGGACTGCCTGCCTTCATGGCCGACCTTTTCTGCCTTCCTCTCTCTGGATCACTAACCCGACAAAACCCCACACAACCTGCCTGCCTATCTGCCTGTCGCCTAACAGCCTGCTCCTCTCACGCCTTGCCAATCCCCGGACCTTTCAGCTCCAGCGCTGCTCGCCAAACACGTTTCTGAAATAAACTGAATTCAAACATCACTGACCTGTCTTGGTTGGACTTTGGGTCCAGCCTCTGTTCCTCACACTTATTGTGTAAAGAATTTCATTCATTTCAGGCTTATTAGATTGTACCAAATATTTTTTTTCTGTTCTCCTCCCTAACATGGGGAATCACATTGTTATTAATCTGCTCCTCGACACATTCAGTGACATCCCTATGATAGCAGCATTACTCTCATAAGAGCAATGGGAAAGAGATAAGGTCAGCAGATTTTTTGAAAACCTTGTTATATATTAACATCAGTAATAAAATGTTCATCACTTAACAGAAGTCAAAGCTTTTACACACAAACCCACAGCTTTTCAACAAAGGCTCATTTCAGTTTCACATTCAATCTTTCACATTCAATCTTTACTTTTCTAAGTAGCAGCCAGCTGTGCTGCAAGGCTAGCACTAGCACTTTTGAGCTTATACCTGAGAAAAGGAAAATAATTGTTTTTTTCAGCTTCTTCCAGCTTTGCTACTGGTAGGATCTGATTTCTCAGGGATTATGGGTAGTGATGTTGCTATAGTGATTTAATATCTGCTGTGTTGTGCTGCATCAGATCCATTAAAACTTTACCTGACAACCACATATGAGAGTCCAAAATCAGGCAGGGCCTGCCAGATCTGCAGGAAGCGCATCAGTGCATCTGTCA